AAATTTTGAAGAATCGTTGTAAAGAGAAGACCTCGAACTTCAAAACAGTTGCAGTGTTTCAGTCAAAATTCTTCAGTGATTTTGTTTCAAATTTTACATTTTTCAAGAATAGAAGTATCCTTAATTTATCGTTTGTTGCGCGATATGGAAACATCTTCAGAAAAAAAAAACTCAGATGTTTCAAACTTTAAAATGAAGCCAAGTAGATTGTTGTATAATTTCTTTTACAAAGTTATAACAAAGGTTTGAGTTATATCAACAATTTTTCATCGAGTATGCAAATAAAAATTACTTCGTTCTTGAGTTGTTAAATTTCCTGGTTGATTTGCTGGTAAGCTTGTAACATTGGGAGTGATCGATTTTGTAGATCGAGACGTCATGGAACATGGAGAACCAGTTCCTCGTCGAGCAACATCAGACAGCTTTCGCGGCCGATGGCATCGAGACATCTCTGCCAATGACTCGAACTGTCGTCAATTCATCGCAAATTGGCGGTGTGGGAGATACTATTACTTATAATAAAGGAGCTAGTATCCTGCGAATGATAAATCTCGTTTTTGGATCCGACGTGTTTGACGCTACGTTACGAAATTACCTGGAAAAGTAAGAAGTATTGTCAAGGAGTACTAAATTATAGAAAGAAACTTTATTAATTTTAATTTTAATAATATTTACAGCAATAATTAAAATTAATAATAACAATAATTGCTTGGTTATCAACAACAAATGAAGTTTTTTATATATTTTTATATTTTAAATTATTTTTATTATGTATTATTATGTTGCATTGAATTATTTCTATCATGTATAATTATTTAAATTATTCCTATCGTATTATTATTTCCATCATTTTCAACTTGCTGATTAAAAAGAAACTCGGTATCTATTATCTATTATTTTAAATGCCGCCACAAGATTGATCAAACCAAGATTGATCCTAATTTTTGCTGATTAAAAAGTAATCCGTTTGCCGTTCGATTAAAATCTCCATTTTCTGCTAAGATCAATAAATCGGAAAGATACAGCTCCTTTCACAAGTGTGATCGTATTGTCACATCTTCGCATATTATTGGTTGCAGTAACAAAGAAGAAAAAGTGGCGAGGCCGATAAACTTTTGGAAGGAATTGGAGAACGAATACAAACAGAAGAACGAGACGCTTAGCAAGCACGTCGAAGAAATCATGGCCACGTGGACAGAGCAAGCCGGATTTCCGGTGTTGAGCGTCATCATCGGGAATGACAAGGTAACCTTGAAACAGGAACGTTTCCTCCTGAGGAATTTAAAATCCACGCCCACAAATCTAACATGGTGGATACCCGTCACTTGGACCACGCGACAAAATCCAAATTTCCATCAACTAAACGTGCATTGGATAAACAACCAAACCGACTTCATAAACATCGATACTAAATCTACTGGCTGGATGATATTCAACGTTCAGTCGGCCGGTGAATATCGTTTACATTTCTTTCTTTTCTTTAATTTACAATTGTTAGAATTTATAAAGAACCGAAATTACTTTTCCACAGGCTTCTACCGTGTGAATTATGACAAAGCATCCTGGTATCGTATCATCGACGCTCTAAACAGTGACGAGTATGAGAAAATAAACGTTCTGAACAGAGCCGCGCTGATCGATGATTTGTTGAACTTGGCGAGAGCTGATTTGCTCGATTACCAAACTGCTTTCGATGGTCTGCGATATCTTACGCGGGAGAAGGATTATTTGCCGTTTAAAGCTGCGTTCTCTGCGCTCACTTACCTGGATCAACGATTATCTGGACAGAACGAGTATTACAAACAGTTCAAGGTTCGTCAACGTATCGAATGATTGCTTTTTGTCATCATTCTTAATATGCATACTTTGTGCTACTTTGTGCTAATTTTTCGTTCGATAGTTAATAGATGATATCGCGTACGGATAAATTAGAAGAAATTGAATTGTATTTTTATAGGAATTTGTTCTCTTTCTTATCGAAAATGCGTACAAAGATATCGGATACGTGGATCGTCCGAGTGACGACAGATTAACAGTATTACTGAGGGGCGAATTGAACAAGTGGGCTTGCAATTATGGCCACGAAACCTGCGTGCAGACTTTCACTGAAATGTTCCAACAATGGACCAACTCAACGGAAGGACATATAATGTATTTATATTATATTTAATTATATTAAATATTTATATTACATTTAATATACTTAACGTGGGACAATTTTAATAATGTTAGTCTTAAACGAAAGTCAGTTGTTCGCTCGCTGTAATCATTAATCTTTAATTATTATATAATCCCTGATTATATTAACGTGTAATAATTAAATAAATTGCTCTTTTTATAATAATAGTATAAACTCATATAA